TTTATTCTTAATTTATTCATGTTTATTAGGGATACCTCCTTAAAAGAAAAGTAAAATTTTAATGAAATTAAAAGAAGAAGAATCATGCATTCCCTGTTGTGGCCTATTGGTAGCTACTGCAGTCCAACAAGACTACTGATGGATTGCACCCCTGATTAGTATTCAAACTTTACCAAGAGTAGATACTAATATAAGTTTTAACCATTACCTCTGTGAAAAGAAAAAAAAAAAAAGAATCATTAATTCAATTCAATAATTTAAAGCAAAATAGTAAACGCTCACTTCATCAATTCCAAGTTGGAAACTTTAATAACAAAGTTGAGGACGGTCAAAAAATACAGAGTAGACCCAGAGTAGAAAATATTGATTTCACAAGGTCCTAGTCTTTGCACTAAAATAGTAAAATCTAATTCAACCAGGATCCCAACAGCTCAGCTGTACAACACTTTCCATGGCGGCGTCTGCTTTCTTCCTATCCCACCTCGCCATCTCTGCTCTCATCGCTGTCGTGGATGGTTGTGATGAAGAAGAAGAGAAGAAGAGAGCATCTTGGCTTCAACAAAAGATCGAACCCTGTTCTTGGCATTTTGATTAACTGATCTTATGGTATAATTCCACCTGCATACTCCTTTGATCTCTCAAGGCCTCCACCGCACCGATGGCAGCAGCCACCAGCCATATTCTGTTTTTTTTTTTTTTTTTTTTTTTTTGCAGAAATGGAGAAAAGAAAGGGTCCTGGAACTGTTTGTGAAAATGCCGCTCTGAGAAGGTGAATACAAGCAAAGGTGCTTATATATAGCAGAGAGGTTAGTCAAAAAACCAGTGGCAGTTTAACCAACAGTTGAGGGAAAATATTTCTGGTTTTGGGGTTCTAAACCAAGTTCCTGTTTATTAGTGTCTGTTTTAAGTTGTCCTTTTTGAATTTGGACAAGATTTTTTTTTTTAATTAACAAAACAGTGTTGCTATTACCTATGCTGTTGAAATATTAATCGATGATTCCAATGGAATCAGGGATTATATAGAGGAAAATGGAATTTTCAATTTGAGATAAAATTGAGGACATCAGAGTCCTTGCAAGTGTCCCTCTCCGAAACTTTGAGGACAAAGATAGACAACAATGGTGTCAATGTCATGTTGGCATTGTACGAGAGTGGGTTGGTGAACGACTGCCCCAAGGGGGAGAACAAAGGGAAAGTCCTGGCCAATGACTTTGTGGTGAGGAGGCTTGAGAAGGTCTGCACCGTCAAAGGCATCTCTGCCAAGAAGACAGTGACCGGAACCGTTACCCTTGCTCTCTGGGATGGCTTCAATGGCGATAAATGTGGAGTTGCTGTCTTTCTTCAAAATGGTGCCCATCAAATTTTCGGTTCACAGAGCTTCCTATTGCCAGATGATATATAAGATTGGATTTGATTTCTAAAGTATGTGTTTTTCTGGCTATTACAACTCCTAGGCACTTTATGTACAGGATGTGTTATTAGATTTATTCATTTTTACCTCTAACATTTATTCCTTATATCTATCAATTCCCTTTCTTTCATATAAAAATTACTAGTCAGATAAAAACAGTATTCTTCTCCATACTGAAAACTTTGTGTGCAACACCGACTGTACCTGAATGCGTAACTAAAATTGTTGGATGAAGAATAGGCTCCTGATATATTGAGGCTCTCTTCCAATTCAGCTGTAACATGTTTTTCAGTTTAATATAATTCTTTCAGTTAATATAATCCAATTGTCTTCTTCGTATCCACATATATATATATATATGGTTTATCTAATTTGTATTTTAAAAATGCAAGTTAAAAATATAATAAATATATATTTGTATAATTAATTTATATAAAAATTAACTTTAATTTTAATGTTATTATTGTATAAATAATTTTATTTAATTAATTAAATTTAAATAAATTTTTATATAAATTAATTATAAAATATGTATTTATTATATCTTTATACCTATGTGCTATGGGTACATTATAGAAAAACCCATACATATAAACACGTTTACAACCAAATAAAATTTCATTTGCTTACAAATTTTGAGTTCCCTTGAATCTTGTGATCAGAAATAAAGAATCCAAATGCTTAATTAGGTCCCCAGATGATAAGTTGTAAGAGCGTCTCCCGCTTCTCTTCCTCGCTCCTCCTCCTCAACTTCTCATCTCCGTTCCTTCGGGCAGCACCCTGATTTTCATCACCGCTACCTCTCCCCGGGGCACTCTTGCTCTCTGGAGCGTGTCTCTTAATTAGGTTGCACGGCCTTGAACGTCTCATGATTCTTGCATTCTTTACCATTACACATCTCTGAGAAACGCGGGGAGCAGTGAAGGAAGAATTAATGTTTAATGCATGTCTCTGGTCTTGTAACTTGAGTAATGTATGTGCATTTACAGGAAAGGAGGACTGTTGAACGGAAAAATTCGATGAGGGTTCCTTTCCTCTGCCTGTTTCCTGACAAACAGGGGGTGGGCAGAGTTGGTGGCTTTGCAGATCCCTGGTTTTTTGTTTTGATTCAATGGGTCAGGGTAGAGGTAGGGCAACAGTGATTTGTGGTTTCCAAATTTTTTAATAATAAAGTAAGCATGTGATTAGGCAAGCAGTTAGATTTCTCATCTTTCGTTACCGGTCATATGTCGGCATTAGCCGCATTACCCACGTGATTAGGCAAGCAGTTATATTTCTAATCTTTCTTTATGTTGGCATTACCCATGGAAGCCCTTCAACTATTTATTTTTAAGACTATTAGCCCCTTAATACACTCTTATGTTTTTTTTTTTTTTTGAACATGGGGAATTATAAGAGAAATGAGAAAATTTTCAAGTAGTCGATAAGAGTTGAATTTTCAATCAACTAAACTCAACTACTACAGCTTGGGAAAAATTATTGAGTTTGAAGATCCAATTCCACTTTTATATACTTTATTTAATAAACTTCACACAATTATTATAATTGATATAAAATAAACAAAATCTCATCACATGACTATCTTTGCTATATTACCCTATTCTTGTTAGTACATGTTGATATATATATATATATATATATGGTTCACTTGGATTTATAGAAGCAAAAAACTTTCACCTAAAGCATAGATAAGTCTCATTTTGGACAAGATTTTCCTGTTGTATAGGTCTAAATGACATTCACGTGACTCAAGTAATAGGATTCTACTTATTTAATTATTTTAGACGAATTATAATAATAATATAAAAATTTATAGATTAAAATACACAAATTATATATTAAGGGACTAATAGACTCAACAACTACAGTTGGAGGGACCAAGCCCTCATATGTCAGTCTTGGCTGGGTGGGCCTAAGTTTCGGCAAAGTTAATCTATAATTGGCCCCCAAGAAGCCTAGGACCTCTGAATTTGACCGAGCTGATCTTGAATTTGGGCCCAACCAACCCCTTACTAATATTTTAATTTTTTTTAATTTATTTTTTAAAAGTTACACGTTAAAAAAAATTATATCTTAATTTATCTTTATTAATTTTACTGACATATTTATGAATTAAAGCTCCTTTTTTCTTTTTTTCTTTTTTTACATTGAGAGGAGATTTTTCTTTTAACATATTACAATTTTTAGGGAGGGATTCGAACCTTAATTCTAAGATTAAGATATTTATGAAAAGACATATAACTATTAGATCACAAGATCTATGTGACGGTGAGAGGAGATTATTATTAATTTACTTAATTCAATATAATATATTAACTAAGCAAACAAGTTTAATTTTATTAATTAAAATTAATCAAAATTAAATCATTAACAATAAAATTAAAATTTGTTATTAGCATAGAAATTCAAATCCCTACTATATTCTTTAGGTAATGTTCCGAACATCTATAATTATAATGTAAAATGAAGCGAGAACATTTAACTCATACTTATCTAATTTTTATGTACTATGTAATTTTTATGTAATATGTGATTTAAATTTAAGATGTTATATTTAATTTTGAATTAGCTAAACCTCCTATTTATATTTTATACATTATTTTTTTTTTCAAGATCAATATTTTTTATAATTTTTATTTTTAATCAACACTTCTCATAATTTAAAACTTATAAAAAAAAACTAAATTAGTAACAAAATTAGGGTACAAATAAAGAATTTAACTATTAATTTTTCAATTTTTTATTAATTTAAAATTATAAATAGTATTAAGTAAATGAAAAATTTTTTTAAATTATTGACCATAAAAAAAATATAATAAGTAAAATGCAAATAAAAAGTTTAGCTTGTTAAATTATGAAGTCATTGTAGCCTTATTCTTAATTTAGTCATATTTGTTAGGTAAACTAAGGGAATGTTTGATCATTTGGTGGAAAATATTTTTAAACTCTAAAAGTTTCAATTGTATTAAACACTATAATTTATGAAAAATATTACAACTTCTCATAAATTAATTTTTTTATATATTTCATTACAAATTTCAAAAATACTAAATCGATGTTTTTGTAAGAGTTTCTCATTTAATTTTAAATAAAATTAATATATTATTATTATTTTATCTGTTTTTTTCTAATAAAACTTTTATTAAAACTTACAGCTAGAGCAAGCAGCACTAAATCTCTTTTTTTTTTT